AGATGCACATGTGCGCACGCATGCGGGAAGAGGTATACACATATATACATAAACATAATACATGCATATATACATTTTCTTTATATAGTATAAACACGTACTCATGCACATAGACCTTTTTATGTACACACATAAGTTTACGTTTACATACTGCCTGGCTTGTACCTGCTCATATTTCGCCAACTGACAAGGGAAATGCATGCGAATGGAGGTTGCCTCCCTGAAGCGACTCAAAACGAGGCAGGGGCTTCCTCTCTGCCAGGATCTGGCTCACGTCCACCTCGTGCTGCAAGGGACCCAGATCCGGAGGCGAAAAGGCGGCATTGGACTGTCAGGGGACTCAATAAATTGCTAACCCAGTGAATCTCAGGCGTTTTGCCCCTATAATTGGTAACCAGCTATGTTTCTTTTGGTTTTTACAGGGTGGCAAGCCCTTGGTTACCTATACAGGTAGATGGACCGAGCTTTTTAGACTGTCTTCGAGGGGACTTCAAGTGGTCCATGGGACAACCCGTGGTTTTGGAAGATCGCAGCTGCAAACATGGCTTTTCACATTTCTCCGGCCAGTGGGCGGGGGTCGCATCTCTTTGCTCGCGCTTCCGTGGGATACTGCTAAAGGATTCACGTCGTACTTTGGGGAGGGGGTGGCCGAAAGCCAGGAAACAGCAGAAGCAACGGTGAGGCAGTCCGGGGCTGGAGACGGGGCCGAAGCGAGCCTAGAACTTGTTGATTCTAGGAACTGGTTCCACCCAAATGTCGACCAAGCTCAACAAGTCAAGATTTCACCCCATGCGCTTGTTTATGCGTGGTCCAAAGGAGCCTGGTGATACATTATAAATCCACATCTCTCCCGACGCCATGTTTGGAACAATAGAACTGCGATGGTCATCGTTCCTTCACGTGGTGCAGATTCCTTCAGATTCAACATGCACTTCCCCAATCATTTTGGCGCAATGGCGCAACTAATTGATATCTATCAGTGGGGATTTAGCCCACTCGCTTTAGCAGAAACTACAGCTAGCTAGAGCTAGATTTCGTGACAAGGTTCGCCCTGCAATTGCGACAACGCTTTGGGCACAGTTTCCTCGGCCATGGCCAACACAAAATGTGGAATGGATTCTGGCCCATATTCAAAGCAAACCTTTAAACGTGAGACAAAACCAAAAGAGAATCCAAACATTGGCAGCAATTCACGCTGAGCGCCCCTGGAGAATCCAAGGCACTGGTGGAGTCCTTTCTTGCGCCTCCTTGATCAGCTCTTGGTATCTCTCCTGGTGACAGGAGAAAATTCTCCAGGAGTTGATTTCCCCATGCTTTGCAACCATCGTTATTTTCAAAAACCAGCTGTTTCCCTGGGTTTTTGATGGTTTCCTGAAAAGAAGGATCCCTGGAACACAGTTGACCCCCCCAATTGCCAGTTGGCGCATTCTAGCAAAGATGTTCATCTTTCCTTCGTTCTGCTTCTAGCTATCCACCCAAACGCTGTGCTTTGCATGCCACACTTTGCCCGGGCCCCCGCACGAACCATCATGGCCCGGCTGTGCTGGACCGGTGGGCCCCCTCCAAGAAGACCAGTGAACGAAATCAAGCACAAACCATGGTGAATCACAAACATTCTCACATGGCAATCACCGTCTCCAAAGCAAACTCCGTGAAGGAGCGACCACACGTGCTGATAATGGGCGCCACGACTTTTGGGTAGAAAGCAGGGCGCACTTGGCAAGTTGCTGACGGGGGCCTCTTAAGGGGCGGTCGGGTGTGCTTATCTTTTAGATGGCAAGTGTAGAGTGCTGAGATGGCTCTTGGGTCGTGCATGGTGTGCGCATCGTTTGGCATAGCCCGTGCTCTTTAGCAGCTATGCTTATTAAGGGGCAGGCATGCGTGCAGGGGGAGTGCTTAACATTTGGCAGGCATTTGTCTAGTTCTTAGACGGTGCTTTCGGGCAGCTGCTGAGGGGGCTCTCGAGCAGCTCGCATATCATTTGCCAGGTGTAGCCCATACTTTTGGGGCTGACGGGGTGCTCTTGCGCTGCCGTGCTTGTCATTTGGTGGGCATGTGTGCAGTGCCGAATGGGGGCTCCTGAGTGGGCGTGCTCATCATTTGGCGGGCATGTGTGCATGTGTGTGTAGAGCGTGCTCACCATTTGGCGGGCATGTGTGTGTAGAGTGCTTAGCCGATGTGGGCGGGTGTGCATATGATTAAAAGGTCCCCCCCAACATATTTTTCCAGACCCCGACAAAGTCCAGGTCCGGGAATGGCAAATATAGAATAGGCAAGTTCTAAACCAATACCAAGCTAGCGATGCTGCACCGAGACCCCAAATCCAGCCGTATTGTATAGGGGTCGCCGGGGTCCCCCCAGTTCTTGAAGCCACAAGAAAGAGAACCCGAAACTTCGTATTATATCTAAAGATTGCATTCGGGGGGCCTGCCTGCCTGCATGCATGCTCAAACATGCACAAGCCAACCTGCCTGCCTCTGCCTGCATGCCTCAAACATTCACTCGACTAACAAAAGAGGAGTCCGAACCATTTAAATCCATTACGTAAACTTGTTCGACCCGTGAAAGGAAAGTGCACTCTGTGCTACAACTCAAACTACTCCCTGCCGCGAAAACAACAAGCATCAGGCCCCCCAATAGAATGTGTCTCTCCTGGAAAAACATGCTTTACTAGGGGGGAGCATCTAATATCAGGGGGAGGGATTATGTGCAGGGCCACGGGGGAAACCAAGCATAAGCTGGCCTGGGGTCAATTACCTGCGACATAGGCACTTGGTGCAGGCCAATCCGCCCACGCTGAGGGAATCTGGTGCATGGTGCTGAGCGAACGCTGACGTGAATGGGCTGACGATGCTGTAAACGCAGCCGATGCGGGACATCTGGGGCCCATGTTCGCACCAGTAAGGCCTACCGGCAGCTCGCACCCTCAACTTCTCTGAATCGCTTTGAATCTGACTCCCCCCCTCCCTGGGTCAGTGGGCCAATCCTGAATCTTCCTGGTGTGGCACACCCGGTTCCACCTGGCCGCTGAGACTAAAACCGATCGATCGCGGCTGCAAAGCCATCCTATCGCCGATGACCGTCTCTTGACGTTGGAAGGGGAGGCAAAAAAAACATTTCTCAGCAGTTCAGTGGTTGGATTTCCACCCACTAAACGCACACTACGCAAAAAATTGGGGAAAAATGGTTCCCAACCACCACCAGGTTCTTGGCCTCTGTTGGTCAGGCTGGAAGGCTTGGGGCTGCCTTTCAGGGCCCCAGCGCGCGCCATAGACCCTGGTATGCCATCGCGCCTGCCTCCCCCACCAAGGCTGAAAGAAGTAAAGTAACGGACATACAAACTTGGAACAGCTAAACTTCCAAGTTGGTCAATTCCACACTTAGAACACAAATGGCTGTGGCTCAAAATTAAACAGGAGGGGTTACGCAAGTTTTGGTCCATGTTTCCACTTACCGGGGTTCCATTTTGGTACCGTTCTTTTGAGCCACAGCCAAATGATAATTCTATCGTTGCATCCGGTAGCCCTACTGGTGCTAAGCAAGCAAAGACCTGCTTTTGCAAGCCAACGAAGATCAAACAAACAATGCAGCGAAACACCGCCTGCCCCATTTCTGTTCCAACAGCCTACGCCTCCACCCCGAATCCGCCCTGCCAACACCCTATGCCTCTGAAAATCCTCCAGCCGCAATGGCTTGCTCACATCCACCATGGCGTGCACGTGGGAGACTGTGGTTGGCCGGTCGGACTGCCCGACTGGGCAGTTAGGCTTCTCCAGGCGTTCTTTGGGTTTTTTGGGCCGAAGGGAGCCTTCTTGAGACCGGCATCAAGGCAACAGGCTTTCAGGTTTTGAATGCAGCAGCCAGTGTGGGCTCACTTCTCGTGCACAACGCATCAAACGGTTTCAGGCTGAAGCCTCTGGTCAGCTCACACTTCGACTCGCTTTCTTGAGTGTTTCAGATTGCAACGTGGCTCTGTAGAGATGTACGGTGCGGGCAGGAAGGTTGGGCTTCTCGTTGTTCCACGGTTTAACAAACACACACACACACCACACCACACCACACCACACCACACCACACCACACCACACCACAATACAACACAACACAACACAACACAACACAACACAACACAACACAACACAACACAACACAACACCTAAAATGGGTGCGTCGTTGTGCCCCACCAAAAGGCTTCAGTAAGATTGGGGAACAGCCCCTTGCGTTCCTTTGGGGAGGGGTTCGGGGGTTCGGGGGTTCGGGGGTTCGGGGGTTCGGGTTACCAGCAAGTTACTACTCCGTCCGAGGAAAAAAAAAACAAAAAAACTGACGGCTGGCAGGCCACCTCCCCACAAGCCACGTGGCGGTGTCCACTAAAAGGGACCCCTTCGGATAGCAAACGGAGTGCGCACGGAAAGCATTGGCTTTTACTGCACGGACGTTCACTGATGCTCGGGAGATGGTTGTACCTTCACCAAATCCATAGTGACTTAGGGTCCGAACACCTTGAACTCCATGCGTGACTGCCGCATATGTTCGCGTGTGTTGCAGCATGTGCGACACACCGAAAGCACTAAGCGCATTCTGCCTGGCCGAAAGCAAGCCCTCTGAAGCACAAATGGCAACCCCCCCACCAACCCCAACCCCCACCCCCCCCCCCCCCGCTGCATACCTCCCGAAAGGAAACGTCATCCTGTTCACTCATCTGGAAGCTTCGCCAGCCTTCTTTCTGATGCTTTTTGTCACTATACATTCAGATTGCACGCAGCAAGTGCAAGGTGAAACTCCGGGGAAAGCTGCAAAGCCTGTCTCCATCGGTCTAAGCATCGAGACATCCGAACATCTGAACTGGAGGAATGTGGCTAGCCTTCCCTTCAAACATGACCGTCGTCACAAGAATGCTCACTCGGCACGGCCTTAAATGGTGGCTGGGGGAATCTGCGTGTAGAGGCCCGCTGGCCGTATGGCACGCCACAGGCTTGGCAGGGAAACGAATGGTGAGACTCAAGGCTCGTGGGGCTCGTCGTTGAGACCAAAAGCCTGGCGAACGCCAAGAGCTTGAAGCTAGCTCGACATCTGGGCGTGACTCTGTTTTGAGTTGGCGCCCTTTTTGGCCTCAGTATTTTACCATGATCAAAGTCACCCCCTAAGCGGGTTAAAGGGACACAACCCCCACGTACTGACTTTGATAACCCCCAGAAACCGTTAAAATGATGACCCCAGCCTTTTTGGGGCTGGTTGTTTGGGGAAGCCAAAAGGACAACGACCCTTGTTAGAAGGTTACATCCAATTTTGAGACCACCTTGTGGTTACCCCATGTTTTAGGCGCCCCTTTAGTGTTGTGGGTTCCTTTCTGGGGACACAAGAGGCGCTTGAGCCATCTGCGAGGCTTCACGAGCTCGCGCCTTGAGGCGGTTGATGAGCGGTGGCTTGGTGGTGTCACGGTCCCAGCTGTTGTGCGTGACCTGCGCATGGCAGTGGGAGGTGCTCCCCCCAAACCCCTCTCAAGGTGGAAAGGGCTATCCTACCCCCATGAAATGATGACATGTATGATTCTTGTGCTTTTGCCTACAAGTGTTAGAAGGATGTACTGGACCCTGCCTTTTACACCGCCACTAGCCTGCACTCCAACTCCTGCACGTTTTGCCCTGCCTTGCCCAGTGCTTCCAGCTACGACAAAAGTAGACAAGCGGTGATCCTTCCGATCCTTCCCTCTAAATCTTACATGACATGACGGTTTCCCCTGATTACCTATAGTACTAGTTGTAACTGGAAGCCCCGGGCTGCCTTCTGAGATGCGAATGCAAAAAGGGGAGCATGGTCATCGATTGCATGCGACGAATACGCAAATCCACTATGGCCAACAGGATGGCTCATAAGACACAATCGGCTAAAGATGTGCCTCACGGGTGCAGTTCCGCAACAGCTGGCATCAGGAAGGCATCCAGCGGTCCAGCAGTTGGACATTCTGCGAAACCAAATTTCCATCGCGATCCAAGCCGCGAGCCTAGTGCCTAGTGTGCAAGGTATGACTACGGAACAAAGAAAGCCCCGTGAATTTGGCGGGCGTCCCATTCCGTGTTCCAAATATCCTACATTTGATATTTCAACGCATTGTGATCTAAATAGTTCTACATTTGAGCGAGATAGATCAAAATTGTGTGTCCCATTCCGAGTTCCATTTCAATGGTATAAGTTGTGTATTCTGATCTATTTCGCTCCAAGCTTCCGACATAGCCTCGGCCAACCTCAGGAGTACCACCAACCTTTTCCATCAACCTTCCGACAAGATCGGAAGGTCTCAATCAACTCGAATCGGTGACCTGGAAAAATCGATCTGCTCCAACCCCCGTGGGTAGGTGAGAACTCTGAATTCCACATCCAAGCCAGGCACTGCAGGCCGTGCCTCGATACGCTGGCTCATCTTGTCCAAGGTTTCCTGGCGAGGTGGTCAGCCCCGCCACCACATCCGGAAGCCCAACATTCCAAGGAGGGCTTGCAACGGCAAAAGCCTTGCCAAAGTGCAAGCAGCTTGGTTGCAGCAAGCTGGTTGCCGCCAGCTGCTAGAAATTGAATTCCTATGATATGGTCACTGGACTGAAAGGTGGCCCGTTTCAAGGGGATTGACGCTGGCTGGGCTCACATGACTCACATTGGAGGTGTCCAACTGGGTGGTTTGGAATCCTGGCGTTGCCGAATCTGAGAGACTCTGCCCCTAGCCTCTCGCCGGAGGCAAGGAGATGTGGAAGCAGGCTAGGTGATGCTTGACGGGAAGAGGCTGAGAGGAGGAAGGAGAAGCAAAGGGAGAAAGAGGAGGAGAGGAAGCCGTAAGCTCAGCAGTCGCAGCAGCAGTAGTAGCAGTACTAGCAGTAGTAGTAGCAGTAGTAGGACAGAGAGGATGGCCACGAGTTTGCAATTATATTCTCGACCATGTCATGTTAGAGATTGGGAGAAGGCTATAATGTCCTGAACAAGCGAAAAATAAATGAGTTCCTCCCCTGTTCCAAATGGAAAACTGGAAAAGGGGATCTCCCCAAGACATTCGATTGATTTTATTTATTTACTTATTTTAACGTGGGGGGTGTCTTTTTGAGGAGGGAACCCTTTTGCTTATGGCGGGCGTTTTATGGAGAACCAAAAGGACCCGATGTTCCATTTTGGGGGGTCCCGTTTCTGGGCTCTAGGCTCCTAGGCTCTCCCACCCCGCGTGCAAGCCTTGAGCATGTCTGCGAACTCGAAGGCCATGGTCTCCATCTTGGAGGACAGGGAGGCGATTTCCAGGTCCTGTCCGGATGCCACCCTGGTCCTTGGGCATCCCTGACGCTGACAACCCCCGGATGGTACCTTGGCTTTACAGGCTGACAATCCCCGAGTACTCGAATGGGTTTGACTTTGACCACCCTGAACAAAAAAAGGTACCGACATGTACCGAGCCTCGGAGGGGGAAAAAAAAAACCGGGCCAAATGCAGTACCATCTGTTGGACGGCCGCTCCTTCTGTCGCAGGATCTCCTCCTTGTCGATTCTCACCTGCTCTATCTCCTGCCAATTTTCTTTTCGCAGGCCAACCACTGAATCGCTCGCGGTGTGACTGTCCCCCCCCCCCCGCACAGTTTGAGGAGCCACCCAATTTCTTTGCAATGCCTGGACAGGAAGCCACGAACTAATCAAACTGAGGCGCATGGCGCACATGTCGGGCTCATTTCGGGCCCCGAGTCGGGACCCAAGTGCTCCTTGGTCACGGACTCTATCTCTGCCTTTGCTTCCGAGACCTGGCGATGCAGGGATTGCTGTATTTGTATGACTTGAAGGGTGGGTGAACCAAAGCTAGCCATGTTCAAGCCAGCTGCGAAGGTACAGCAACCTTAAATGAACATCCAGAAAGTCATCCAGACCCCAACTTGGACCAGGTCCCAATGAGACAGATGCCCTAGCCCACACATGTGTGGGAATGTGGGAATGCGCTGGTGGTTTGGGAGGGGGGAAATGGGAAATCGAAGTCAAATCGAAGTTGAAGCCTTCGCGCGGGGAAGGGGCAACAAGGCAAGCTGTCGTAGAGAGCGTGGCATGCCGCGCTCAACGACCACTTGTGCCGCGGGCGGATGACCAGCCACCAGTCTGGTCGCGCCTGCTTCTGGAGCACATCGATGGTCTCGTTGAAGGACTCCTGCCAGCCCAAGACTCGGATGCCACAATGCCAGAACTCGATGGCACAAAATCAGCATGCAGCGGGAACCCCAAAATGAGGGACCCCCAAAAATGGCAGCAGCTTCCGTGTTGAGTTCCCTTTGAGAAGAAAGGCCCCAACGAGGCAACGGCTTAAGCCGGAAATCAGGTGGTGGACCATGATCTACCTCATACGTTCAACGATGTATGAGCCCAAGGCCATGTGCATCAAGGCACATCAGCAAAAATAGTTTGTGGGTCTGTGGAGCCGTGCTTCAAAGGATGCAAAAAACAAGCGCCAAGAGACAAACCTAGGCACGCGGACTTGAAGAACTGCCAATTTCTCCCATGCCCAAGCCATGCCTGCATCTCCCGGTATTGCCGGCTCATTTCCTCAGCTGAGAACTTCGAGCAGTATTTTTCTGCTAAGGGCTCAAGGGCTCGAAGGCTTCTTGGGAAGTTGGTTGAACATCAAAAAGTGTCTCAGGAAATCACCGAATCATCTTGACGGCACGCTCCTTGGATCCTGAGAAAAGGATGTTGCAATGGCAGTCACCGTGGATTCAATGCAACACTCTCGATGACTACGAAGGCCATGTCATGTTGTTTCTCTTGAGCGTCCATCGCAGCTACAGTCCACTTCTCCTGACACTGGTCCCAATCGCACAAAAAGGGCCTTTCAAATTTGGGACCGTGGCTCGCAAAGCACAAACCCTGGATAAATCAGGGGGACATCTAGGGGCTGACTCGCTCCTGAGACCTTGCGCGGGGGACTCCAAACAGCATGTGCTTCCGTAGCCAATCACATGGTGGAAGCAACCCTCCTTGGGAAGTGGAAGCGGAAGCCACGTGTCAACCTTCTGTTGGCTTTGCTTTCGGGGGCCAAGACTGGTTGTTTCAACACGCAGATTTGTCTCAAAATAAAGGGAACCTAATGGTTTGCTTTCCTTTTGGCTTCCTAAAGGAAAGCCCCAAATTGGGTCCTGAGCCTCAACAAAAAAACACCCCACCCGCCTGGGTCTGTCACTTTTGGGGGCGCCCACCAAAATAGCTGTTTTCCTTGTGGTGTCCCTTTTTTTTAGCACCATCAAAAAAGGGGGTACACAAAAAGAGGGGGTACACCTTGTTTCCCCTTTAAAACCCATCCAACAAATTGGGGTACACCAAAGAAAAAAAACGCACCCAAATGCGCCAAAACCACCCACGGCCCGGTGGCCTTGCAAAACCGTCCAAGGCGCCGCCGTGTTTTCCCGGCACCTCACCGCCTCGTCATCGAAGGCCTTGTCCAGCTCGGCGATGCGCTTCCTGCCAGAGGCGAAATGCGACGAGACATGGCGGCGAACCCGAAAAAGCACGTCTGCTTTCCGCACATGGGTGGCTCGTCTTTTGTTTGGGGGCAACCCCTTTAAATGAATTCGGTGCTCTTTTCATGTCTCTAGTTATTTCGTCTTTTGTTTGGGGGTAACCCCTTTAAATGGGGTCCTTTTTGTTTTGTTTTTTTGTTTTTTTCTTCTCTAGTTATTTGCTGGGATGCTCGTGCTCAAGAAAATAATTTTCCAAGCTAGCGAGGTGATGATAAAGAGCCGGGCCACTTGGGAGATCTGGCCAATTGGCTTAACAAGAAAACCCCAAGGCTCAGACTTGGTTGACGCAAGAGGAGCAACAATTCAAATGTTAGCAGTTAAGTTGTTGGATTTCAACCACTAAACCACAGTAAGCAAAATTGGAAAAATGTGTCCCAACAACAACAACCACGCAGAAAGCTTTAACTGTTTGTGCCGCGCCTGAGGTCTTCTTCTGACTTTCGGCAGCCCAGGATCTGCTCGTCTTTGATCATGACCCTGGCTCCGGCCAACTGGGATCCGGGCAACTGGGATCCTTGTTTGGACACTTTCTAGGGGCTCAAGGTCAGAAACTGGTTGGGTTCTTTTCCTGGAACCTGCCACGGGTCTGACTTTGATTGCGGTACAAAATGTCACAATTGGACCCTGCCAAGTGACTTTGGCTAAAAAAAACGTGGTGAGCCGCGCAAAGTCGCCTACAATAAATGAGAAACACAAGAGGGCTCCTGCACTGCGTGTGGAGAAGTTGGCCCGGCTGAGGCATCCTCTCGCAATGAGCTGACCACAAGCCGAAGGCCCATTGACAAGCCCGAAGTTGCGCAAGTGGGGCTGCCACATAGGGAATTCCAAGTGAGGGTAGTCCAAGGGAAAGGGTTCCCCAAGACTGCCGGAGGAACTCTAAGGAACCCTAAGGAACCCTTATGGCTCACAAGTACCCCTTGTACCTACCCCAAGATCTTAGGGATTACAACTACTGCTTAGGATCTTAGGGCCAACAACTACCCACCCTGTACCTGCCCGAGCCTGTACTGCAGCACCAGGATCTTGCGCTGCATGTATGCATTTTCCTGGCCGGTGACTGCAAATGAACAATCTGGAAAATAACAACCAAGCGGCCTTGGTTTCGATTTGGCGGGTGCTTGGAAAAACCTCCCCACTTGCACGACTTGCGCCTGCGGTAAAGAAAAAAGCCAATAGCAACAACTGCCCACTTGCGCGTCCATCAAAATGGAAAACTGAAAACGCAAAACCAAGCGGCCTTGAGATTTGGCTGCTTGGAAACCAAGCCAATAGCAACAACTGCCCAAGGCGTCCAAAACGCAAAGCTTTGTCCCCCAGTGCTTTGCCTCACCTTGATTGACGTTGGAAGGGGAGCAAAAAAAAAAGCAGTCAAGTGGGGATTTCAACCACTAAACCACAGTAAGCAAAAATTGGAAAAATGTTTCCCAATTACAACCATGTCAATTCTCCCGCCTGCGCGTAGTTGATCTCATCGCCGCCCTTCTTGTCGCCCATGGCTGTGGCCTCTCAGGCTTCGACCGACTGCTCCTTTTCTTCTTGTCCCTGCACTACCCCCGCCGAAAGCGCTTGATAAATCGTGCGAAAGGGCGGGGTCTTGCCACAACCGAACCCACAAAAACACGGCAACAGCACCGCCAAGACCAAGACCAACACCACACGCCCTGCCACGCGGCGCCGCCATGCACCCAGCAGAAACCCAGAAACCCAGAAACCCAGAAACCCAGAAACCCAGAAACCCACACACCCAGCCAACCAGCCAAGCCAGAGCCAAGAACAGCTCCGGGTTCTCCTCAAAAGCCGCGAACCCACCAACCCACCCCCGAACAACTTGCACGAAAGGCCCGCGGAATGCAGCTTCCTCAAGCCAGCACACTCAGAAATTTCATGGGATATACCGGAAGAAATCAAAGCCGCCATATATAAAAGCTGTAATGTACTTGGTATGTATAAATGTGTAATGTAAACGTATGTGTATGTAATGTAATGTAAACGTAAATGCAAATGCAAATGCAAACGTAATGTGATGCAATGTAATGTGATGTAGTGTATGCATGTATGTAAGTATGTGTGTAGGGTGTGTATGTGTATGTATGCATGTATATCTATACATATCCCGGTTGTTTGCTGGGTAGCGGTTCCGGGGCAGGACCATCTTGGAGAGATGAATCACAACGCCGACCCCTGATGAATCATCTTGCGGTTCGCGGAGCAGGGCGCACCCAACGAAGAAAGGAAACCGCCTTGAGCAAGGGAACGCCCTATGGACCAGGCTTCATCAAGGTAAATCTGCGGCCCCAAACATCTATTCCCTTTGAACCAGAGGGGCATCAGCCTATGCATGCGTTGGTGGAAGCTTTCGGGCATGTCCACCTGTGTAGTTGCGCACGCTGACGCTAGCAACCAGGACCGACACTGAAATCTTGCCCTGTGCCTGGATGGCGGGCAAGTTCCTCTTGGTTGCCCAGGGCTTGAGCCAGTGGGCAGGTCGCACACCGGGGGTGGTCTCGGGCTAAGGCAACCTACCTCCCACTGGGACTTAGGCTCACACGTAAGCCACTGAAAATCCTTTGCAAAGAAAACCAGTATCTTCCGAAAAATGTTTGCGAGCTTCTACGTTAGCCTGGAAAGGTACTCCAACGATCCATCTCTAATGAAACTGCTTGATTTGGAAAATGGTTGGGACCGCAAAACCGCAACAACAGCAAGAAAAAGCAGCTGGCCGTTCCGCAGAAGCTGCGGAGTTGATTATCAAATTTACGTGCCTCCCACGCCCATGCAACATGCACGGGAGGTTCTGTACAGAAGATCCTTTCCGAGGATAAGGTGGGAGCACCATAAACTGGCCGTTGTAGAAATAAATTTGTTCTGGGCTGCGCTCGGATCCCCCGTTTGAAACCTTAAATGTTGGTGGGTTAAATGGAACCCCCCACTAAACACCGCTAAACAGCTCAGGGGATGGCTGGGAACCACCAAGTGTTCCAAAAACGGGTGCCGGGAGCTGTTCTTGCACAGCATATGTCTTAGCCGTCACCGTGTCTGTTCAACTCTGAGGCTAGGCGTCCAACAAGGACAGAAGTGGAATCAGAACACAATGCACCAACTTAGTGGTGCAAGGCCCCATAACACTTCTGCAAAAGACCCTTTACATATTGGCTCCGCCATCAAACAATTGCACTCCGCTGTTCGCAATTGATTTGGGCACTGTTGGAATAACCGCTTCAGCGACCGTGAACAAAAACGCAGTTGTCCTTTATGTTTTTGTTTGCGAGGAATAAACTGCGGAAGTTGGGAACAGCGCATGTTGCTGAGCAAGAGAAAGTATACCTGGACTCTCAAACTACCCTTAAAAATGAGTGATTGCCCAAAATTGTGGGGGAGCTTCCCTTTTTAAGGGTAGTTTGAGAGTCCAGGTATCCACATGTTGCAATACCCGGGCGAGAAGTCCTGGCAAACAATTCTCACCGACCATCTGGTGGGTTCCATACTAGTGGAGAGCAATTCCAAAGCCGGAAAATCAGGAACCCGTCAGGTAAAGGTCATAGGCAGCAATATCTGAGTATTTATGTTTTAAGGGGGGGCTCTTCTTGGTTTCCCTCTAAAACCGCAAATTCAACTTTCCACTAATTGGTGTTTTGGATTGGTGGATTGGGGATATGAACCCTTGCTTCTGGTAGAGGGTAAATCTAAACCACCGATTCGTGGGGGACCAACTCCAAACCTCACTTCCTGAGCGGGTTGGCCCAAAAAGGTCTAAATCACTAAAATGGTAAAGAATACAGTCCAGGAACTCGGGACGTGAGACAACCAAGACACAGACAAATGAACTGTCCAATTGCCACTACAACGGTCCAAACCCAAAACGTGACTAATGTTGACCCAGGATTAATAGACCCGTCTCACTATAGGGGGTGTTCCGGAGTGAGCACGCCCATCTGACCACGTGCAGTGCATTTTTCCTTCTGCCCCTTTCGCCCGCTGCCGGGCCATGCGTGTCTCCACTGGCACATGGGCGCCTTCCTGACCCAAAGCAAGCGACAAAAGCATGCTGACTGGTTTGGTTGGAAGGCACGTGCGTGTGAGTGAGCGCGCTTCTTTCTTCGCGTTTCTCTCTTCTTTCTTTTTTGGGGGGGGGAACCAGGTTTTTGGTCTGATGCGGGACCTTTTGAAGAAAGCAGCCATTTTGGCGGGGCGCCCCCCAATTTGGAGACAAACCCGTGTGAAAGTGCTGAAGCCTTTTGTGGGGTACCTGTTTCAGGTTGGTTATGAAGGAAGCCAAAAGGACAAGCACACCACCTCTGGGGTTGGCACATACCCAAAATGTGCCGCCACTTTCTTTGTGAGCTACCAGAATCTAGCTGTTGGCAGGGGGCTTGGCACACTTGGGGAGGGGAAACGGGCTTAGCACCCCTGCAACCGTCAGGTTCAATTCGGTTCAAAAACCAAATGGGGCGAGCCATTCGGGTGACAAGGTGAGTGCGAGCCCCGGAGACTCGAAAAATCGGGCCAAAGTGCCCTTCTTTTCTCGAGGTGGCGAGCGTTTTCAAATGGAACGTTCACTTTGGTGCATTTTGGTTGGAGGTTAGAACTTTAACTTTTTGCCAACTAATGGGTTTTCCAGTAAACCACTTAAAGTTAAACTTTACAACCGAGTTCACTTTAATGTGGGTAGCATGTGATTTTTGGTTTGGGGCACAAGCTGAAGGTGGCAGGCAGAAGATGCTTCTTGCGAAGAGGTGCCTTTCAACGCAGGCCAAGCATGGCTTCCTTGTTTGGTAGCGAGCCGTCAGTTAAAGTCGGGCTATCAAGGTGATATTTGAGCAATCGGCCCAGTTGCGATCGGGCGTGCACCATGTTCGCGTGCTCAAAAACACCCCAACAACGGTCTCAAAATAAGGGGACCCCCCAAAATGGCAACATCTTTTCTGATCTTTTCCCCTTTCAGAACACCCCACCCCACCCCACCCACCCCACCCCACCCCACCCCACCCCACCCACCCCACCCACCACCCACCCCACCCACCACCCCACCCCCCCCTTGCGGCTTGGGCCTTGGTCCAGCGCACTTGCCGTGCCTCCTCGCAGTTGGCCAGGGCCAAGCGCGGCTGCCGCCTTCGGATCCGACGCCGCTTCGAGGCGGATGACGCTTCGGCGCGGGGATTTGGGTGGGCCGCTTTGGGTGGGCCGCTTGGGGCATTTTTTTTGGGGGTACAGGCGGATTTGGGCCGTTTTTGGGGTACAGGCGGATTTGGGCCGTTCTTGGTTGAACAGGCGGGCCCAGCGGGTTTTGCCTCACTTGGCTGGTTTTAGCTGTTGCTTGATTTTGTTTTGCATGAAGGCGAAGCACAGGGAATGGCACCGGTTTTGGGCTTCAAGCAAGCCTGAAAAATGGTGGGCGTGATAAATGTATTTCTCAAGGTACTTCCCCAACAGGAAAGCCAGGCAGTGGGGCGAGGTCTACATCATTATGTTGGAACCACTCAAGCACTGCGTGAGCACAATCAACTAGCTCCTCAGAAGAACAAATACTGGATGTTGGCCGGTGTGGCTGTGTGTTCTTTGATGCATACATTCAATATGGGATGCTCTTTAGCGTCTAGGACATATACACCTGATATACGTATGTATTTATTTTGAGCACTGCTACAAGCCACTAGGCCAATCGCTGAATCCCTGGATTTGAGGGAACCTTGGAGCCCCCGCCAAGTTTTTAAAACGGAGTCAACTGGAACTTGCTGGTTCTCAGGGCGAGACACGGAATGACACCTAAAAAGACCATCCCTCTAGGGGTTGATTCCCCATTCTTTTCAGCCACCGTTCTTTTCAACAACCAGCCATTTCCCCAGGGTGTTTGGTGTTTGTCTAGAAAGATTCGGATCCCTGGAAAAAATGGAGAAGCACCCCTAGAATCCCGTACGGTTTCCTTTCTTCGGGAATCCCCAAAAGCGGTTCACTCCCAGCACGAGCACCCGATCGTTCCCTATCGCACCAGGAGAAAGCCTGCTGCCCTGAAATCGCTTCGCTGAAGCCGGGCTTCGCTTGCGGATTTGGCTGTGGGGAGGTGCCTTGCTCTATCCCAACCACTCCATGTATGCAACGATTTTCCCAGATTTACCCGCCAAATTGGACCAAATGTCGGCATATATAGGCATTGGCATTAAAATGCGCTCTGGGAGGACCAGCAGTGGTTTCATGTGAAGTCCAACTTGGTTTGCTCTCCCTCCTGAGCAGCGTAGGTTTGATGGGAAAAAACATGTGCTTCCAAAAGGTCGAAGGAACTAAGGTTACACCAAAGACCAACCATGATGATACGGCTTCCCTCCAATGCTCTTTACGGTTTCTTTGGTTGTTGCATTCCATTCAGCGATATTCCATCTGTCTCCATCCCGCAGCTGACTTCTCCAGCCGAGCCGCAGTGCAGGCTGAGAGCCATCCAAGCACAGGTTGGTGAAGGCGGTGTCAACCGGACCCCACTGCCTCACTTGCCGGATTCTCAGATCAGCTTGGTCAAGATCGAGCCCGAAGAGCCCTCCCGGTTAAACAATTGCACCTCAAATCTATGAAGTCCCCCTGTTTCCCTGTGGTCTTGCTCGTGGGCATTCTTTACAGCCATCTTTAGCCATTTGAAAGGTTGCGCCTGCAATTGCCAACATCTCAGTTCCTGACTGGATTGGCCCAAAAAGGAAGTCCAACGTTCAATTTCCCAAAAAATGCCTAAAGTCCAGGAACTCGGGGAGTGAGTGCAGGTGGCATCCACTGCCCGCACTGGTGCAAAGACCTTGCCAGGCGGCGTGATGTGGCCGCTCGGTGTCCTGATTGGCATCACACGGTCGATTTGGGTGGTGTTTTTTCTTGCTGGTGCTCAGTGGGGAATGAGAGAATGACCCTATATAACCATCCAACTGGTGGTTTCCTTTAAGGGGACCCCTGGGTTCATTCCCTCATTCCGTACTGAGCACCATCAATTTTTGCTTTTTGAGTTCTGAGGCTCGGTGCCCTTTGAGGCGCGGCTTTAAGGGGAAACTAAAGGAATCCCTTGCTATTTTGTTGGTGCGTTTTTGAGGGTGCCCTTGCTGAACTGGGTTTCAAGGGAAACCAAAAGGAAAACCACCAGTTTGGGGCCCCCCTTATTCTTAACACGCACCAATTGCATGTAAGAAACCCTGTGCCAAGCAGGATCAACGACAGTCACCGGATTTTTCCCGGGCTGCGAAGCTTGCTACTGGCTACGACGCTCGACTAAGCACTCGATAACCTGTTCACCGCTCAACCCAGGGGGGTTACAACTCTCCGACCCCGTTGGTGAACATCATTTGAGAGGTTGATCAATATGCCCGACAAGGCCCCCAAACAGCGAATCTTCCCCCTGGTTGAAATATCAAGCATGTCCGGTTTCCCCCCACGGTCATCCCATCTAAAGGGCCAAACAACATCTCCCAAAGAGCAGTGGTCCATCTTCCCTCTGGACAAGGCTTTGAACCTTCTGAATCCCGCGACTATATATATATATTATGTACCAAATTTGCGGATCCCCCATACCCCATGTAAAGCACCAAGTTTGCGGATCCCCCCTATCCCACGCAAGCTCCCAACTTGCGGATCCAGAAGTCCTCCAAAAAGAAAGCCCATGCCTCGGACTCCAAAGACTGGCCGAGGCGCAACCAGAACGCCTGGTTCGTGTTCAGCACGCCATAGGGCGCATGGGCATCCTCCATGGGGTAGCAGACCTCGAAGCCGCGAGTCGCGATCCCTGCAAAAATGGGCGATTGCCCGCGTGAATCCCACCTTTTTTCTGGGTAGCTTGAGTTTAGGTAACACACTTCCGGAAATCGCGGGGCACGGCGCCCAGTGCTTCCAAATGCTCCCGTTGCTTCTTTTTTCCCCTTTCAGCGGCGCAGTGACAAGCAACGGACCTTCACCAGGCCCAAGGCCACTTTCAACTAGGCTTGCCCTTGGCCTTTCTCTCAAAAGGCTGAGTTGCTTGCCCATCAACATCTCCAGGGGTTGATGAAAGTGTGTCATTGCTCAACCACAAGGCAAATGCAACCTCCAAAAAAAGGTTCCAAAAAAAGGCATGCCGGCCTAGGCCTTCTTCGAAACACTTCCCAACGCTGGCCCTCTCAAGATGCACCCAGGTCTCCAATACTCAGAGATTGCAGAGCTCAAAGCAACTTGGTTGCTGTTGACTCCTGTGCAACAAGTGTTTCAATTTTTCTGGGTTCAATGAACATGCTTCACAAAGTTTCCACCAAACAATTCGAAAGATCCGGTACAAAATCCCCGGCTGCCAGAACGAAGCCCGAGTCCGGCCAAGCTGAATCCAGGCAAGACGCATAGAGCAGGGGCGTCTGACCATTGTCCGTGTCCAGACCTTGGCTCCCGATAAATTCCGACCCAACCAAACACCAAGGGAAACTCGCCAACATTCGGCCCAACAAGCAACCAAACTTCTTGTTTACGACTCAAACAGTCCAAACTCAATAAGTTGTTAAAGTCCGGCAACTCGGGAACTGAGGCAAAGTGTTCCCCATAAATTCCAACCTAAAAAACGTCACCCTGGAAACTCACCAAACATTAGCCACAAAATGGTGTCATCTGTAAAGCCACCAAAGAAAAACGAGACATTTGCGAACCCCTGCATTTAAAAAGACCAAATTTGTAGAAAGCCACCAAAATCCCTGGGGAATGGCTGGTTTTCGAAAAGAACGAGGGCTGACAAGAATGGGGAATTAACCCCTAGAAAATTTCGCAGAGAGCCCCCGCCCCCGTCCAGGGCTTGGACAGGTGGAAGGCTTGTTGGCCGGCTTCAAGCCCAGCCTGGCTAGGATTCGAAGCCATGGGGTCTGGAAGAGTTTTGGTTTTTCCCACGTTGAAGGTATAATGATTTTCCCAACCTCTCATACCAATCCGTTTTTTTCTTTATATGTTAGCTAGGCCCAGTAGACATGTGTTAGTAGGTGCTTAAATAGCAGTACGGGGGCGGTGACGATCATTTGGACGGTGCGACGGACGGGTGAACGAAGGGAGGACGACGAAAGGACGACAAGAGGACGACGGGAGGACGACGGAAGGACGACGGAAGGACGACGGAATGACGACGGAGAGACGACGGAAGGACGACAAGAGGACGACGGGAGGACGACAGGACGACGATGGGAGGACAACAGGGGAAGGACGGTTTAAGCGGTGTCGTGAGCAACCAGTTCGCTATGCCGTGTAGGAATTTGTGAGATGATGACAGGAACAACCCGTCACCAGCGTGCGTTGCTATCACTGCTCTAATGTCTCAAAACTTCACTAAGTAATAGCCAGTACTATTTGATTAATCATCATCAGAATCATTATGAAATGAACCGTCATATTAAACTTTAAAAACATTGATGTAAGTTGTAGAGCTTAGACTCAGGCTATACGATTCACGATTCACCCATATGGTTACTTCACTGGAACAGTAGAAATGCATTTTCGTACGGGTTCGCCTAGCCTGCCTGGCGTTCGCGAGAGGTTCACCTAACCTCCGTGGGTTTGCGTAACGCCGGTTGCCTTCGAAAGCTTCGGCTGGGTTTTTGTTGCAAATTGTAGACGTTCCTTCGCAAACGTTTGCACACCTTGGTCAGGTTCGCAAACGTTCGCAATGCCGTTTTGGGTTTCGCCTAAGCCATTCTAGTGCGCACACAGTCTACCGACCACATCCGTTTTGCCCCGAATGATTAGCAATATGAGTCGTGGTCAAATGGTCCATATGTGATTCAAACTTCGTACGCATATGAAAATCAATCAGAATCATAGTTCGTATAAGTTGTAGTCATAGGGATCGAGAAGTTATCTGTGCCGGCTATAGTTCTGAGTTAGGATATAAAACATCTATGATATTGAATCACGACATCATCATATGACTCATGACTCATGACTTGTGAGCAGTGACAACGCTTCACATTGGCTAGACATCACGCGCATGAGTCGTATGACCTTTGTGATTTCTGCGGCACGTAAGACTTGACCAAAATGGCTAACTACTTACAACTTATAACTTCTAACTCTGGCTCACAACTTATGACAACCTTATTGCGCTTATACTTCAACGCGTGCCTCATCATGACCCTTATGGCCAGCTCCAACCTGTCTCATGACGCTTGCCGTGTGGAGTCACGACTCATAACTCGTGACACTATCCATGATGCATGACTCATGGACTCATCGTCTATGACTCCGACATATCTGATGACTCACGGCTCACCCAGCACTAATACTACCACCCATGATCACTGGTTCACAAGTACAACTGACTATTGACTCATGACTCATGAAGCAGGAATCATGACTGAAGACGCTCATGTTTGGTGACATAGTTTGACACATCTGACTTAGAACCTATAGCTTACATCTTACCACTTACAACTTATGCCCCTGTGAACTCATATCTTATATCTCGTAGCTCGCAACTCCGGCTTGTACCTATGTGACAACTACTGCCTCTTAGGCATGCTTGCAAATAACAATGGGCCATTTGCGTGGACTGACATTGGTCATGTCACGCAACATGTGGAAGTGGAAGACATTGGAACGTTGTTGACTACGCTGCGCTAGTGTTGCGCTAGCATCCTCGGAGTTTGCGGTGACACGAAGTGTGTTGCAACCGACATGGTGCAACATGGGCATCTCGCATTTATCTCGGAGGGCGTGCCTCATGTTGTTCAGCTTCCTACAACGCGGGCGCAACACGCTTTTGGGCCCTTGGCTTACTCGCTGCGGCTTGATCGAAATCTGAGGACTTCACGCTCATATGTTGGGAGTGTTGCAAACTGTTCACGCGCTCAGCCACCGTGCTCAGCAAGTATTGAGTCTAGAATCTTGATTCTTGAACGCTGTCAGGCTTGACAACCATGAGATCGAGCCGCGAGCATTGTGTTTCTAGTTTGGTTTTGTCTTTCGTTCAGAAGCAACAAGACTGCGTCACGCATGACCAAATTCTTAACAACTCTTACCTCCTGACTAGACTCTTAGCCAATCGACTAGCCTGGCAATCTTTCAACCATAAAACAACCTGTCAACCAATCAACCACTCACCCACCAAGCAACTTGGCAACCAACCGAGCCACGCAACTGATCAAGCAACCAATGAACCGACCAACTGACCAAATGCCCAGTCTGGCAGTGAACCTCGCAGTCAATCCCACCATACCAGTGTCAGCCCGTCAGACTCATGCACGCAGTGTAATCCCGACCACGCATATGCGACGGGTCTGGACAGCAAGATCCGCTTGGCTGAGTGTCTTGGCTGCAAGACGGGCGCCCTTTTACTGTTGTTGTATTTTACCCGTTCGCCGGATTGCCGCTAACACTTGAGCGAGTCCAGCAAGTGGGGACTAGCGTGGACAAGTGTGAGTAATTCCATTTTGTTTGCCGTTCGTTCAAGTTCTTTGATTTTGGTGTCGCCCCAAGGTACGTTCGCAAAAAGATCAGGAATGCAGGCGTTGACTGTGCGACGCCAAGCAAGGCGGGGGATATTCCTTGTTGCTTTCTTTTCGGCGTACAGTAGAGGCACTCCTACACCATGGGCATGCGCTAATAATTTACCAACCCGAATTCCTAAATCCAAGACACACATTGCAATAATAAGCGGCCTCATGTTACAACTTGTAACTGGTGGTCTGAATCGTCGTACGATCTCTGTAAAACTTTGGCAACCATGCCGGCTATATTGGCCTGATAGTACGCACCTCCTTTTCTTGGGGGGAGGTTGGACATGTTGAGTTGGCTTGGGGGGGCAGACATCCGTCGGTCCATCGGCAAGCCATTGCGGCCGGCTATAGTTCTGTATGTTTACTGCTCCGCGTTGTGCGCAGGCACACCGCGCAGAAGTTTGAGGATGATGACGCTGTTCGAGCGCCGAGGCAACTGGAGGAGGAGTCGGCAGCAAGAAGGGGGGGAGTTCCGGAAATGGCTGCCTCAAGCCATGCTTTGAGATGATGTCTGGTTGGAGCAATGCGCGATGCGTAGCTGCGGCATCCACACTGGTTTGCGCTGTTAAACTGACGATGCAACTCTGCACTGGTGGTTCTGGCAAAGACACGTTTTGTGAAGAAAGTCACATGGGTCATCATTTAGGCCATTGGGCCAAAGGCTATACTCTACTTGGTTTTCACATATTCACTCAGGTAGTGAGCACATACTCTTTAGCAGACTTACAGAGGCCATGTGGACTATGCAACACTCGCCATATCGACAGGCGCCTTAGCGCGTTGCGTGGGCCCGTCAGGGCCACAGCCTAGGGATGCGATTGTACAGGTGCCGGACAGTTTGCCCAGAAGTTGGCGCCGGTAACTTATCTGCTTAGCCTGTCAGGCAGGCTGGCGGCGCAATAACAGTGACAGTGATGGTCATAGCAGTGGTAGTCCAGTGATAGTCGCGAGTCACGAGTCATGCTTCTGATACTTGATGTGAGTGTGTTTGCGTCAGGTTTTGATATGCAAACTGTAAATTATAAACTATAGACTAACCTCTAAATTAAAGAAGCCTTTGCTTGCCCTGCCCACTCGTTTGGAAGTGGTGTGTGACACATAGATCAGGCCGGGGCTAAGCGCCATCTTTACTGTAGTCGGCGCGTGTCTAGTTTATCCACGCTGCGCCCTTTTGCGGCCACGACGCTTCTCAGGTGCGCCGCCACACAGGTATAATATTCAATTCAAAGAACGCTTCCCTTTTCTTCCAGGGTCGCTGGGCAATCGACAATCAGACAGCCATCTGCTTCTTTGTGTGTGCGCGTGCGTGTTGCACGTTGTTCTTGGGGCTGCCTTTAGCCGCGCTGCCCCGCTCTTGGTCTTGGGTGTGTTTGTGCGCGCTGTGTTTTTAGGGTCCGGCCTTTTCGCCATTCGTCTGTGGTTTGTGCGCGTTTGTAGCTTGAAGAAGAGAAGGGGGGGCGGGCGGTCATAATGAAACGATGGTTGCGTAGGTCAGTGAGTGGTCTGCAGCGCAGTGAAAAGAGAGACTTTGTCATCGGCTAGGTTTGGAGAGTGGAGGAGGATGGTGCATAATTGGACTGTGGCGTTATTGTGTCTATCCTATCTGGTTTGGGCCCCTAGGACTGGCCCACAAAACAGACCTTAAGGGCGCGCGAGCGCTGGGTGTACTGTGGGCCGGGCTGGGGCGTCCTTCTGTCGTCCACTTGTCGTCTCTCTGTCGTCGTCCCGTCGTCTGTCCGTCGTCCCGCCGTCCGTCCCCCGTCCTAAGGTCGGGTTTGGGCCCAAACCAGACCTTAGGACCGTCCTAAGGTCTGGTTTGACGGTCCTAAGGTCTGGTTTGGGCCCAAACCCGACCTTAGGACGGGTGTACGACGGGCGGACGACGGGCGCGCGACGGGTGTGCGACGGTTGGACGACAACATTTGTGCGACGGGCGGGGGCTCGGGCTGGGGGGGTGGGGTGAGGCATCCCACCATCTGTTGTATGAGTTGCAAGCACTAGACACTCAACATATGCTATATCTTGGGTGTTTGGCTTGCGTCGCGTGATTGAGTCATGAGATTTGTGGTCGGCCTAGTAGAGGGAGCTGATCCTGACGGCTTCCCACTGCGTGAAAGTGCAGGAGGCGCCAGCACTGGCAACTCAGCGGACACAAGACAGGCGTGGGTCAAGATGCACATCATCTTGGCGGAGCGGCGTCGCCAAGGCCAAAAGCCGATGTTTCTCGTTGTGTTTTCTTTTCCATGTCGGTCCGTATTTATCATATCGGGCCATCACAAGTTCGTACAAGTTTGCACAAAGCTCATAAGTCCAAAAGGCTCATGGCCTAAAGTCCCATGATCCGTAAGATTACTTTTTGTTTGTTTTGTTGTTCTTGCATGTCCAGGTCATTGGGCCACTGCCTCCCAACCTAGAGGCCCTGCAAACCAAGCTACTGGCGTGGCGAACCGCCACAAGGCTTGGAATGACCTGCGTGTCAACGTTCTTGGTTTCACGATCATTCCGCGCCACATGGTGTCCTTTTGCTGCAGGCTAAGCCGGACTACCTGACTGTGAAGACCTCAAGCTTACCACTCCAAAGCTTAGCCAATTGCCTACAGCCTACGGCTTGACTATGCCTCTTGCCAATAGCAGATTGGCCTGCAGCCCATGGCCTGTAAGTACCGCCAAGGACATTACGATTGAAGATGTCTACAACCATCACATGACTCGCGACTACGACTATGTTGCGCTCTACGATCTTGACTCTGGATTTAGACTAGGCTAGCCTGTGGGAAAGCTGCAGCGCAAGCTGTAGAGCGTCAAATCGCGCAAACACAGTCACACTGTCACACATGCAAGTGCAAACACAGGAGCGGTTGCCACCAGACTATAGGATCACAACTTGGGCTTAAACTTCAACGTAAGGCTGTGGGCTTTACACTTTAAATCTTGAAACTGAAAACTTGAAGCATGTACGCTTTAAGCTTAACATAAATTAAACTAAACATAACTTAAGTGGCTAAGCCTATGATATGACTCTGACTATGACTCACTGGACGCTATGCCTATATAACACTGGCTGTGAGCTATGAGCTAATTCTAGGAAAAAGAGCCGGGGGGATAGCGCCAGGGACCTGGAAAAAAAGACTGGGGGCTAAGTAAGGGCGCCCTTTTGAACCCGCTTGCGATTTGCATTTTCTTCCACGAGCAAGGGCCGGTGTCGATTCAAGGCAATTTTTTGTGGGCGATAGTTTCTGCTGCTCAACCAGGGAGAAGCGATGCGTACGTCGGACATGCCACGTTGGTCTGACTATCATCATCATCATGGATTCTCTCAGCCGGGGCGCGATTCTGTTGCCGATCTGCCCCAAGCCAGAAAGGCGTCGCCGTGGTGCCAAGCACTTCCAGCCCGGGCATCCCTGCTAGACAGATGTCAATGTGACTGTGATGCGCGCACATGGCCCTTCGCCTACATATATGCGCATAGATGATGCATGCCCATTCAAGGCGCTCGCGCTGGCTAATGTGCGTCACAGCCGCGTTTACATTCGTGGAGGCGCTGTCATTTGTCAGTCATGCGCAGCTTGCAGAGCCTCCGCTTGGTTTTCCGCTGCGCGGTAGCATTGTGCGACGCAGTGACGCGCGCGTTGAAGCTGCTCTTGCGCTTACAAAGCGCTGATAGACAGAGCGTCAGTTTTGTGAGCCGACTTGACTCGCACGCAGTTGCGATGCTCCTGTGTGGCCCACGGGCATTGCTTCAGGGAGGGAACTTCTTCGGCTCCAGCTTGTCTGGCAGCAGTTTCACGGCGTCGCTTTTCGACACGTTCACAGAGGCGCAGTTGACTGACTTAACTGGCAACGCGTGGCAGACTTGAACCCATCTCCCCGGAACCACTCGTTTAAAAGTTTCTTTGCTGGGTTGGGATTGGCTCGGCGTTCGTTGGCTTTGGCGTTGGCCCGACATTTATTTGGCAACGTTGGGTTCAATCTCGGTTTGTGTGTGTGCAGTGTGAGTGCGAGGTGACGCGTGAATTGGTTGGGGGCGAGTTTGTGTCCACCAACCAACCAACCCTTGCAAAATCAAGGATCTGAAGCTCAAGACTCAAGACTCAGACTAAAGTTTCCACTGATGATTGGTGATTCATGCCTTTGGTTTCAAGCTTGGTATGACTTGATATGACACGATTCGGTCGTAGTATTGCTTCTAAAGGCGTATAGACTCAAACATGTAGCTACCATTGATGTAACCCTTGTGCAATATCATGATTTATGTATCATATGATATGTAAGTTATGATTATGAATCACAGTATGAAGGTTCACACGAGAGTCATACGAAGGTCACTACCCCTCAGATGGTATGGCCCGGCGTGGTCCGCTGGTTCCTGTGGTTAACCAACAGTTTGACTCACTCAAAACACAACTGCAAGATATGATCCCACGAAAGCATGGTACAATTCATACGACGCGCGACTAGTGTGTTTCAGACATGACGTTGTCCGTGTATCACGCTATGTCTATGAATCATCTATGACTATTGGCCCAGGACTCCTAAAATCTGCTTGTGAAGAAACACTAGCACCTTGTTGATTGAAGCGAAGACACGTTTTATGCTGTTTGTTGGTGCTGTCAGTGTGTTGCGCGCCAAGGTGCTCCGGCGTTTCGCAGGTAGAGGAGGGCGCAGACATTACCGGTCGCGCGTAGAACCCGCTGTCTGCTGTTGCTCGCCGGCGATGGCGCGATGGTCTCTGTGTCCTTCCCCGACAATTCGCATATAGCAGAAGTTGACTTTTCACATGTGTTCGGCATGGCCCAAGCTTGCAAGACATTTCAATAGCAAGACGCATGTCGATTCAGAAAGAACCGCTGTGTTTCGTATTTATTGTTTGCTGAACTGTCAGCATGTAGATTCAGAAGACGTTGATAGTGTAGGCCGTTGACAACACTCTTGCAGCCCTGCGGACATGGTGAATCCGTGCTGTGACGCTGTGTGCTTTTGCTCGCCGGTCCTTGCCAGTGACACTCCTGGTCGTGATTCCTGCAATGGCTTGGCCCTAGCTAACCTTGCAACATGTTCATGTTATCACCTTACAATTGCAATACTCAACACTCAGTCGAAGAAGGCAAACCCTGCGGGCATGGACAGGTGTGCCTTTGAAGTTCGCGGTGTGTGCCTTTGCTTGCGGTGTGGGCCTTGGCCCGCCCTATAGTGATGCAAAAAGAGAAGTTTGTGCTTGTTGTGGTCCTTTTTGCAACTCAAATAACGCAGGCCAGTTGGAGAAACAACAGCTAAGAAGGCGAAGCCGTTGACAACACCCCTTTAAACCTTCTGTTCAGCGCAGAATCCTCGCTGTATGATGTTGCTTTTTCAGCAATCAACATGCGATGACGTATCCGTGCGGAGAGCTGTGGTTCAAAACAAAGGGCGGCGGGCTGACATACTCGCAGAGACTCATAAGACTCATAAGACTCATAAGACTCATGCATGAGTGCATGACGCACGCAACAAGCCGCAGGACAGCGTGTGACGATTGACTCCGTTTGACTATGACGACGGCTCTGACTTAGCACTACCCAGTCACACACAGCTCATGTCACTTCTCACTTATGTCATTTGACGCGTCAGGTCCTTGTAGCAGTTCGACGTTTGCAGATAGTCGCAGCCTAGAGTCGCGGTGATTTAGCCAGTCCGTATTGTGCGCAATTGACATCCCAGCAAATGTGTTGTCCGTTCGTTGTCTCGTCATCCTCTCGTCGTCTTCCTGGTCTTCTTTTCGTCGTCCTCCCGTCGTCCTCTTGTCGTCCACCCGTCGTCCTCTTGTCGTCCACCCGTCGTCCACCTGTCGTCCACCCGTCGTCCTCTTGTCGTCCTCCCGTCGTCCACCTGTCGTCCACCCGTTGTCCTCTTGTCGTCCTCCCGTCGTCCACCTGTCCGTCCACCCGTCGCCCACCCGTCGTCCGCCCGTCGTCCACCCGTCGTTTTCTTGACATACTAGCCCCGTACCACACGTAGCTGTATGACTAGAAACCACTCATTACATGTCTGCTGGACCTAGCTAATTTATATGCATTTCATATATTATCTGAATCTCTTTTATAATTGTTTGCTGCAATTAACCAATTAACCTTTTGTACCATTTCCACCGACTCATTGAAACTATGTTATATACATTACAGGTGATGGCTACTGACCCAGCTTCTTTCTCCTCGTCGGCCCAAGCTGATTAGACAAAATCGAGGGGACACCTACGTCATTGGGAAGGCCTTTCCCCTTATCACCAGTGGGAGACTCCCTGGCCACGTCTCGCAAATTTGTTCCGGCATCCCCAAGTCTGAGACTCGTTCCGGCACCCCCTTGAGCCAAACAAATGCATGTCATATCGCGATGAAAAGTTGGCGGCGGCACTTCATGGACGGCTTCGCCCAAAGCCACTGCTGATTTATGTCCTGGGCCGAAGGCTGGCCGCTGACGCCAGCGACTGGTTCAACTTGTATGTTTTATTCTCTCTCGCGGGGAGACATGGATATGGTTGCCACAGTCAGGGGGGGTTCCCCACAAAACAACACCTCGAAAAAGTACCCTCAACCAAATCCATATCCTTTTTAAGACACATGCGGCAAACCACTAAGACGATATTTCCTACATGGGAAAAAGTTACTCAATTGGTCATTTGGAAGCCTTAGATAGCACAAGCGCAACATTATTTCTTGTCATCCACCAGGAGACGGCCCTCTGCTACGGAGACGTGGACGCCCTTTTCAGATGGTGTCCATTGGAAACAAACAGAAAACTTCCCGGTGTTTGGTGTTTCCCCTGTTTTCGGGCAAGAACCACCCCCCCCCCCCCGCACTTCTTGAGTGGATTGGTCAAAACAGTCCAGACTGTTCATTTACCACTAACATGGCAACCAGACCCAAAAAGTGACTAAAGTCCAGGATTACTCAGGGAGTGAGCCCCACATGGCCAGAAGCCTCAACCTCAATGTTGACCTCATATTAATCAACCCCAGTTTATTCATAGGCGGGTGTCCGATTCCGGGTGAAAAGCGGGGAATCAGACCACTTTAAACCACCCCCGTACTAAGAAACTGGTCGGGATTGTATCTGGGGGCAGCCAACAATTTACCGGGCGAACCAAGGCCAAAACCCAAAAACCCACCCCCAAACTGGTTGGTGGATGAAAAAGGGGTCAACCAATTCCTTGGTTGACGTTGGAAGGGGAGCAACAATTTATTTTTTAGCAGTTAAGGGGTTGGATTCCAACCACTAAACCGCAATAATAAGCACAATGCACAACATATTTCCCAACAACAAGCATGACTCAGCCCCCGCTGCTCTGCTCTCGATCTCCTGCACGTCGCAGTCCGCTACCCGCGGAGGCTGCGGGTCCTCACCCAGGTTCGCCTTCAGGCAGTGCCCTGGGACAGAGGCATGGCGCCACGAGCGCTTTGTTAGAAACGGGAAACCAAAAAGGAACGGCGGACGGCATGCGATTTTAGCCAGTCCTTTTTTGGGGGAGCGGGGGGGGGGCCTAATGTGTTTTTGTTCTTCTTCTTTTTTGGGGGGGGACCTGAAAAAACGAGGCATACCCATACGGACACCTGGACGTGTTTCTTTTCTTAGTGGGCCCCCCAGAATGGCTTCGGTCTTCCTTTTGGTTCCCCCTTAACCCAACTTTTGAAAGGGACCCACCTGTGCCAAACAAAACATGGCGAAAGGACATTGTCAAGAAGATCCGCGCTTGACAGGTCACAAACTTCAATAACATGTACTGCGAGGCTCATCTAAAGACCTGATATGTGAGACCAAGCTGGTTCTGCGTACGTACATCCCTCAGACAAACGTGGAAGCTCCCCCAATTGGCCACTGCCAATGGGTCACCCCGCCGTCCCTTCCGGGGTTCCTTTGAAGCTTCCACGGAATCGACTTTTCGAGGGCCCCAACCAAGCCTCCCCCCCTTTCTCCCAGGTCGCCTGTGGCCAGCCGCAGCCGGAAGCGGCCGGCTACCAGCTCCTGCGGCAAAATGGAATATCAGTTCATTTGTAACCCCCAAAAACCCCCAAAAAACAACACAAACACGCACAAAGCTCTGGGCATAGGTGAGCTGCTGGACCAAAATGTTGATTGCCCTGGTACACCGGTGAATGGAACTTCAGCCCATCTAAGCCACTGGAACCCAGCTATTTCTAGCCAAAGCTCACCCAATCCTTCCAGGCAAGCCATTACGGTAGGGGACGCATGACCTCAAGGTAAGGACCCCCGGTTAAACATACAACAGTAGTAACTGGAGGCACTGGCTACATGACGAAAGGCACATGTTGAACAAGTTTAAGCCAAGCGGTAACAGCGGGTAAATCCAATGGAGCGATATTTTGCCATTCATGGGTTGTTTGGTATGGGTGGGCAAGCTTGCGAACCCACTTCCTCAGACCCAGCTCCCCCTCTCGGATAGACAGGTACCCCTGTTGGTGCCTGACATGTTTTTTCTGGAAAATATGGCATGTGCCATGCGAAATCAGACATCCCGCTCCGAGGCAACGAATATGCCTCCCGAAGGAATGAGAAACAAACCTCCAAAAGAAGCTACCCCAGAGCCTATCTAGGACTAGCGACCCCATAGCTTTCAGCAGTTGGGGAAAAACATGGAAAAGCTCCCCAAAGAAGAGCAACCACCCGAGAACCAACACCACGGAACCGCCTCCAGACAATCCGAAACTCAACACTCACAAAAACACCTTCCCCGACCAAGGGAACGAAGCCTCAGGCTCGCAAAGCCCGCGACTTCGTGCGCCTCGAGGTGGAAGCGCTGCTCCTCCACCGCCTGCCCCCCGGAGGCGCTGAAGCGACAGGGCGCCCAGGACGCCTCCGAGTCGATCGAGCGATGAACCGCGGTCCGTTCAGGGCAGGACTTGCTGCTGCGAAATCGGCAGGGAAAGAGAAATGGAAATAAAGCCAGGCTTTGGTGCCTGAAAAAAAGGGCACCACCAGTTGGATGGTCTTTTTGAAGCTCATTTCTCATTCCTTGCTAGCAAGATGACCCGTAAGGTTGACCAACAAATCGATCCCACGCGATTGGAAATGGAGGCAAAAGCCTTCACTTGCCACACCTTACCCTCCCAAGATGCCCCTTAAAGTAAACCTCTCAACCAAACCAACACTGAAATTCGCGGCGATCATTCTGAACGCCTTCACGGTCAACAGCCCTCAGGTCGGTCCGAAACAGTGGGACGAACCCCACTCGACCCTACACTTGTGGGGAATGGCATGCAATCCGCAAACACGCCTCAACCTGGCAAAAACAAAAAAAGGAATTGGACCCTACAACTCGTGGCATGGTAGCAAAAAGCTTTGTTTTGTTGCAGCCCCCTGCAAAAAATGAACAGAACCCAAAAACAAAACTTGCCAAGAACAGTGAAGTGGACAGGGAAAAGGTGTGGACACTCAGGTCTGACACCAAAAAACCTGCAAGCCTGGCCTTGCCGTGCTTCAGCAAGGGTCCAAAGCAATTGAAGCTAACCGTTTCAGTTGGGCGGCGGCCAAAAAACCCGTGCGTTCCAGCTTGGTCCTGAAAAAAGAAGAAGACCCCAATGAACCAAACAGCAGCGGGACCCATCTGATGCCATTTCGTTGATTTGCTTTCCGGGGTTTCAAGGCCCGCAAGGAGCCATTTCTGGCGCTGATTTGCAACCTGCAAACTGGGCTGTCGGTTTTCAGATCCCCCGCTAAAAGTGACTAACTTTTAGCGGGTTAAATGGAAATCCAACCACTAAAGACTAAAGACTAAAAGGCTACAGGGGTCTGAAGGGGATGGCTGGGAGCCACCGAGCAAAATGACCTCTAAGTCTCCAGTCGGCAGCCTTTCGATGCTTCCCCCCCATCCCCCCAAAAACATAATTTAAAAAAAAAAAAAAAAAAAACGATGTTCCCCCCATGAAACCAAAAAAAAAAACGGCCCCCCGCTCTCCGGTCGCCGGTCTCCGTCCGTCCCGTCCCGGGCGGCCCCGCGCCTGGTCGCTCAGCGGCTCCGGCACCTCGCCGGGCACCAGGCAACCTCGCCGTGGGGGAGGTCGCCGGGGCCCCTGGGCCCTCACGGACCAAAACTTACCCCTTAAAACTCCAAGGATTGGGGAAGTTCATCTTTTACAGACATATGGCCCATGTTATCGTGTTACCCAAGAAAGTTTAAAAGTTGTGTTTTTAAGAGGTAAGTTGTAGGCCCTCACGGACCAAAATGGGGGGGGCCGTAAGGTCCGAGCTGCCCGTTTCCAGGCTTCACCCGGCGAAAAGCTTGACTCGCCTTGAGTGGGCGACATGGAAAGCCCCAACAACAACAACAAAAAAATCTCCAAAGCTAAGGGGATGGCTGGGAGCCACCAAGAAGTCATAAGCCGTTTTGCGAAACCGGGGAGAGGCTTGACTCGCGATTCCCCTTCTTCGGCTTTCCCTGCGCCCTCTCAAAGGCCGACGGCAGCGCAATCCTTGAGAGGGGAGGTTCCTACGACATTCAGTTTTTTTGGTCAAGGAACGCATGCCTGACCTGCCTACCTGCCTTCTACCCGATCTAATTGGGCTTCTAGTGTCGCCTGTTCTGTGTGTTAACCTCGAATTAATCCAGAGGATCCTACTAGTCAGGGGAACCCCCTAAACTAGATCGTTAACTTATTTTAAGGGGGAACCACCCTGATTAGTACTCTCAGTTGTTCATTGACCCTGGGAAAAAAAGGAACCCTTCTTGGGGAAGACCACTTTTAGTGGGGCAGCCACCAAAACAAAAGAAGTGCCACTGAACAGCTGAGTACTGTCCCCGGAATAATCCGAAGTTAACATTAAGCATGTAGCGGCTCGATTCAGCACACTTGGCAAGCTCAACTTTGAGCAAAGCCACCCCCATGGCGGAATCCGTCACATGCTTTTCCCCTGAACTTTGCTGGGTCAAGGGTAAAACAACCATTTGGGGGTCCACATCTGTTCGAAACCCCCGCATTCACAAAACGCCAAAACTGCGTGGTTGTTGCCCCCTGCACCCCCCCCCCCAAAAAAAAAAAAAAAACGATATCGCAAGGGTCCGTTACCAGGCCAAGAAACCCACGCAATGCATGTTCGCTCCATTGTGATGCGAGCTCTCCATCAAAAGTGCGCCACACAATTCTCAGACAAATGTTCCAGCCATAAACACATACGACACCTGAACTGGGCGGGTGTCTAGTGGGTCTTGACAAATTGAGTTTCTTCTTGTGGCTTCAAATGCAATTGGGGAGGTGTGCCAGAACAGTCACGGAAAAACCTTGCTTTTCGCAACCATGGCAGGGAATGCACCATGGATTTCGCCCGCCCTGTGTCTGATTCTTTGAGCCTATGGACCATGCCTATCCCCAACCCCCCCCCCCAAATGCGCCAAGGTATTCCCAGGATATCCAAACGGCTCGGGCGATCCGATCTCCGGCCAGCGGAAACCGGCATTAAGAATCACAATGGCAACACCCTACAAAAAAGAAGCAAACTCATGGCAAGCCCAAAATTAACACGCAGGTAAACACAAAGACGGCTAGGTCACAAGCATAGCCTTCCTTCTTTTTTGCGGACCTCGCGAGCGGCATGTTAGCCGAAAAATGCGGACAGGCGGCCCCACTCCTGGCTAAAGAGCTGACCATCTGGGCGCAAAGACCAGATCTGGCCTGTCGGCATAGTGGGGAACCAAAGGAACCTCTTCAATATATGATTAGGTGTTAGTCCCTGGTTTCTTCTACCAGGGTTCCATTTTGGGTACCTGTTTTTGACCCACAGCCAAATGGCTAGTAACCTACTATAGGTACCTGGGCTTCACTGTGGACTACAGTAGATGGCACAATCTCCCCACTTTGGCCCAGTTGTCTCCCCTTTGCTGAAGCACACGAAATGCCAAAAAACACATCTGGAGGAGCCTAGCCAAAGGTAAATGAACGGGCAGCGCCCATGGGGTGGGACTGTCCCTTCTGCCGATTCTGGCTCATTCCAGTCCAGGGCTGGGACTCTTGGTCTCAAAAGCCCGGTAAACTCACGCGCACCTGAAACGAAAGTGGCCCATGCTTGTGTGACAACAGCTTGGTTGCTGTTAACCCCCCTGGGTTGAAAACACATTTATTTCCCAAAAAGTTAAAGTCTAAAGATCCAACCCAATAACAGTCAAGAACAGTTGGTTCAAACACAATAAGGTGTTAGAAGTAGAACGGTTCTTATAAGCAACGCTTCAAACAGTTGATTCAAACATCAGGTGTTTCAAATTGATCGGCACACGTAGACCAAACATTCAGCAGTTGCTGGAACAGTTGGTTAAAAAGACACATTGTCTGCTTCTCGATTGTTTCAGCAAATGTTGCATGGCCCGCCAAGCCCAGCAATTGCCTCCCACAATTGCTTGAATTGCAAGAGTAGGTGGCAGCGGGCCCAACCACTTGCCCCCAAGACACCACCCACATAGCTGAGCCTTGGCCCTCGCAAAAACGACTTAGCATGATTGCCCGGTTCTATATCGACCACCTGGCACATGCTGCAGGCAATAAGTACGCCCCAAGGTGCCCACCTTTTACCGGTAAACAAGAAATGGAGGGCGAGACAACGCAAGTGAGACGCAGCCGCCAGACCTCGATGTGCAAAGGCGAGAATCTAAGAAAACGACCAAAGCCTGGGGTCACCTCTGCATAGCCAGCTGGCTGGCGATTGACCTCTTTATGGCCCTGGCTGCACCCCAAACCTTGAAAAATGGGCGGTTAGTACAACAAATATCGTTCACCTAGCTTCATCATTTGGCTGTGGCTCAAATGAATGTACCAAAGTGGCACCTTGGTAAATAGAACCAAAGACTAAAAACTGCGTAACCCTAGCTCTTTAATTTTGAGCCACACCCAATTGAATCATTTACAATTGGGTCAACCATTCTTGTAATGGGGGTTGAGCCCTAGGATGCAGGCACCATATAATTCCACGGTGTGCCGAAGTGCGTGCAAAAAAGAGACCCAACGCAGTGGACGGGAAGCCAGGGCGCTGTTTGGAGGGCGTCGATGGATGCACCTCGGAGCTCACGCGCATGCTGGTTCCAGCCGGGCTCTAACGAACACGGGTCAGAAAAGTGAACGCTCTCCTGCTCCTCCTCCTCCTCCTCCTCCTCCTCCGCCTCCTCCTCCTCGTCCTCCTCCTCCTCCTTTTTTTGGTTTTTGTTTTGGGACCATAGCTTCGTCAGGCCCAAAGCATCCCTGCATCCAAGGAGCCCATATGGCCCCGGCTTGCCAAGGCGACCTCGGAACGCACGCGGCGCCGCGGCCGCCTTTTCACCTGGAGACGCAAATTGTTAATTTCATGAATCCCTTGCCGAAGAGTCAGCCAGCGCTCGCTAGTTCCAGATCCGGTGCCATCGCTGACCATTCGATTGGGCCAAATTTGGCCGTCTTCCAAGCCAAGCCTTTGACAAGGGTCACTGCAGTTCCCCTCCAGTTGGTTTTACCTCGAACTCAAGCCTTTGACAAGTTTCCAAGCTGGATTTTCCTGGTGGGCTTTCTTCAGAGGTGTCCTTCCTTGAGGTTTCCTGAGGGGTGTCCTGGGCTTCCTTTGAAACATCCCCACTTTAGGCCCCCCAAAAAAGGGGGGCTGAGTTGCTGTCTTGTGGGTTGCCTTGAAATCGCCACTTCAGGCCCCGGGGAAACAACACTTCGCGCCTCACTCACGTCACTCGGGCCCCCCGCCATCCAAGCCTCAGGCGCTCTTTGGGTTTGGGGCCTTTGGAGCGCAGCGCCCCCTTCCTTGCACAACACCATCCCGGAACGGCAACCAGAAAAGGTGAGCCATGGTAAAACCTAGGGGTAAGGATCGATCGATCCCTGGTTGCGAGTTGCCGACCTTTTAAGCAATCCTTGTGATAGCAAAAAACGGACCCCCGTTTTTTTGTGTTTTTTTTTGCAGCTCACTAACAATGAACGCATGCCAACAAAAATGGGAATCGGAATCACGGTGGTGTCAGTTGCATTCTGTATCCCAAACCCTGCGCCAAGACAGTGGGCGACCC